GGGGCCCTCGGGAACACCCACAGTGTCACTGTCAGATGAATCGAAAGCCACACATCACGTTAATTACACGTCGAGGGTAAGCACAAAGCGAGCTATCGATCAAAACGGCTACGGGAAACGAAACCGCCAAGTCTCGGAAAGGACGCCAATCTTAAGAGCCCTCCAATCCGAAACGCCGCAGCGGCATTATCCTCTGTTTCCGCAACGACACCCTCACAAGAAGAACGGCATGTCGGTTGGGGAAGAAACGGACGTGATGATCAAGTGTCGAATGCGCCGTATTCCGTTTCCTTTGGCTATTTTATTACCCGAGAGTTCAACGTCGAGTCGACCAACCCGAGGTTGTGGATGGCGCTATCGCTGACAGGCTTAAATTGAGCCGACGGGCTTTTTCGATGCTCCGGATGACAGAAGTTGCCTTTTCTGTATACTGCTTTGCTTTCCATTGTCGATTTATCCGCCGCCTTCTCGAATCAAAATACTTGACTCTTCGTCATGGCACAACGACATGCACCTCGTTCTATAAATCCGACACCAAGGGGTAGGCATAGTTGTACTAGATTTGGCGGCCTGGATGCCATTTGCAAGTGAGCACGCACGCACTACCATTTCGCCTATCCAAGTTTCTGGACATTTTAAAATAGATTCTCGGCGTTTCGATACTCTCTAGGGGCCCTGTAATCATGATGAAGACAAATTATATATCCTTGATCAGAACCTAAAGAGCCAAGGACTTGGCATTGGGCTACCCGTTGGTCTCTTGTACAGTGGAACCAAAGGGTAGTCTTACAGCTACAACAAAGTCGTTTTACAGCCACAACAAAGCCATCGAGCTCTTTACACCTTGAATCTATACTCTGTGTTTTTACACGTTTATCCACTAATATATAATTACTAATAAAGACGTAGAAGCTGAGAACAATGTAGCACTATGTGAGTCCATTTATAGATATTCCAAGTATTCCATATGAATCTCGAATCACCAGTATTTTGATAGTCGTGGGATTTCTCCTTCATAACAATAATTTGGCAATCTACCTCCATGCGTGATTGGCTCCATACCTGTTGCTACTCACGATGACAGCTATACCCATGACGATAGCTGAGTTGCGGGACGGCATCTGAGCTGTGTAGCCAGGGCTGAGATGCATCACAAGAGCCGAGTACATGGCGTGACGACGGCCGGCATGTTTAATATACCTGAGACGTACCAGGTATAATTCACAGCTGAGTTGATCAAATTGGCACCACTATATCTCCGCCAGACAGGCTGCATGAAAGTATATATACTTGGTGCTCCATTGGGTGACTTGTATTGAGAGGTGGATCTCGTTTATACATCCAGCAGCGAAGTTGTTCATAAGAGATAGATATCAGATCCCAAGTTGGCTACGTATACATGTGTGATACTATACCTAGTTATGATGATGTGATACCATGGAGCCTGATGTACTAGGTATTCTCAGGTATTGTTGTTTAGTTCCTGGAATTGATACTACTTTCGAGTCAGCCACTGATTCAAGGAAACGAGTATGAATACGTCCCAAAAGAATGAATGGAGAGACATGAAGCAGACACAGAGAGCAGAATTGCGTAGAGTAGAAAAGTAGAAAAGTAGAAGCTAAAATGGATGGTAAAAGTGATCAAATAATACACTTACTCTCTAGTAAGCTGAGGCATTGCTTGGGTTGAGCTTCAAAACTCGACGCCGAGAGGGAGAGTCGTCTTTTGTACAAGTGCGATTCACTGATTAAGTGTTTACCCATTCTCAAAGAAACAGATAGCAAGACTTGCAATGTAGAACACCAACCGCAGGTCCGCGGACACCGATGCAATAACAATGTACGATGTAGATGTAACAACAATGTCTTGATGCGGAAGCTGGTCAGGGCGAGACAATGACTATCCAAAAGGTCCGCGTCTTGACATGCAGATTTTAGCCTTTTTAGTTCTATTGGTGCTACCATAGTTGCGCGCGTCAGTAGATTCATCAAAATCATGATGGTTGAATACAAATACATCCATGTTATAATAACCAAGATGGGCATACATTCAGTGCTGGTAGCATAGATGGCTCCTCACAAGCATCAATCACAACGCAACACAATCCATCCTACAAATGCCAAAACATATCCTCCATCAGATAATTTTCAACATAAAGAAAGACAATATCGGTTGGCATCACAGCAGTTTCGCTTGAATTCTCCCCGCATCTCCTGCCCTCGCAGCGTTCCATTGCATGAACCAGTCTAGCCAGTTCATCTCCCCCCAGCCCCAAATCCCCAAAGACGATTCGTCCCCCCGCACGAAGCTCCTTTATAACGTTACTTTAGACTTAAAAGCAACGCGGAGAGCTAAATTCATTTCAGGGAGGACCTTGACGATCCTTTCCTCGTCCGCAAGAGACAACATGCGTGTCCCCCCCCCCCAATTGCCGGGTGGTACACGATCACGATGGAGGGCACCATGTGAGTAAAGGGCCGTATCTGTACAATGGTCCGGACAAGTTCAACGTGAATACGGGAGGATTGTTCGGCCACGATGCCTAAAGGAGAGGAAATTGGTCGCCTTTCACATGTGCTGCTGCGACGGCGCAGACGCTGAGACGGGGCAAAAGGAGAAGTTGCAGCCGCGGCTGCTAGACGACGTCAAGGTCACGCGGAACATTCGCATAAATATGAAATGCATTCAACAGCTGTGGGAGCCTTGATTTGGCAGCTTGTTTGGAAGAAGCAAGGCCAGGGGAAGAGAGGCAGATCCCTATAAATAAGGCATCGTCAGCCCAGCTACATCTTACGTGAGGAGCGACTCGACCTCTCCTCAACCGCTTCTCTCACGCTATCTTTCGCAATCAAGAGTTGAGAGTTGGACAACTAAAGCCTCTTGCCATGCTTCTTCTTCCTCTCTCTACCTTGGCCGGCGTGCTGCTAGGCACAGCTTCGGCATTCGAATACTACACTTTTGACGGACCAGGCTCGCCATCATGCCACAACGTCGCCGAAGTCCACAACGCAACAAGCGTCAATGAGATGGTGTCCCTCGTCAAAGACGCTTCAGCCCGTGGTCTGCAAGTCCGTGCCGGCGGCAGAGGCCACATGTGGTACGACACGCAGTGCTCAGACGACGAGACGGTCATCATCCGCACCGAGTTTGTCAACGGCATCTCCGACTTTGACCTCGAGGGCGGATCCGTGGTGGTCGAGGGCGGCGTCACCTTCTTCCAGCTCGCCGAGTATCTTCACGAGCGAGGGGCCAATATCGGCACTGGCTTGGTCAACTGGAACATTACCCTCGGGGGCAGCATCGCCATGGGAGCGCATCGCACTTCGTTGAGGGAGGATGCGGTGGTGGTTGGCGGTGTGCTTGCGTTGGATATCATTGACGGGAATGGGGAGATTCGGCACATTGAGAAGGATGAGAGCAATGAGGATTGGCTTGCTGCGTCGACTTCGTTGGGTCTGTTGGGGATTATTGCGAGGATCAAGATGCAGATTTTTCCAGAGACCAAAGTTTACGCCATGCAGACGACGTTGGTCTTGTCTCCTATATTGCACCATGATGGACGTTCTCTAGTTCAAGCTAACATTTCTTCGCTTACAGCCTCGATGAAAAGGACGTTCTCAACGGGGACATTTACAACCTCATCTCGCCATATCTGACAGCCAACTTTTGGGTAAGCTCGAGTTCCATTCCATCTATCCCGATGAAAGAGAAAGGCCGTCTTACTTACATCATCACAGTGGTGGCCATCTCAACGCAAATTCCACTGGCGAACGTACGACATCGTGCCCACAAACACCAGCACCCAACAAGGCTTCCAGTCCACATTCTCCGTCACCGCCCTCGAAGCCGCCGCCGCCGTCGTCCTCCTCAACAGCGGAAAGATCAGCCCCTTCCCCAACCTCGCCGCCGAGGGCATCTTCTTCGGGCTCTGGGAAAAGCCAAACTTCCACGACAAAGTCACCGACGAGGCCATCGCCGAGTGGCCCGTCTACGGCTGGAACTACGACGTCCTCATCGGCGGGCTGTACCCCGGGCAGAAGCCCGAGTGGGAGTATGGGCTTAAAGGGTATACGCTGGAGCTGGCGTTTCCCGTGACGAGGGCGAACGAGGTGTTGAAGCGGATTCGCGCGCTGTTTGATGCTGAGGAGGCCAAGTGGATGCCGATGGCTTCGACGTATAGGAGTGGGATCAACATCAAGTTTGGAAAGGCGCATTTTGATTTTCTCGGACAGGTTACTACGGGTACGGCTGATGGGCAGGATTGGAGCAAGGGCGCGATTATGTTTGATTTCCCTTCGTTCCGGCCCAGTCTCGGAGACCAGAAGCGGTACAACGAAGCTTTCTGTAAGTTGTTCATCATGATATATCGATGCGATAACGATGTGAATGCTCATCATGTGTCACTTTGCTGCAGATATCAACTTGGCCAACACGCTGGTCGACGAGTTTCCATGCCGTCCTCATTGGACAAAGAACACTCGCGATGTTTTCACGCGTGCTGTCAAGAACTTGGATCCAAGCGTGAGTCTTTCCCCATTCCTTCAATTTACCTACTCACCACTAAGTGTCTGGATACAGTACCTTGCTCGGTTCAAGGCCGTACGACAAAAGTTCGATCCAAAGGGCATTTACCGCAGTGTCGTGGGAGAAATTATCGGCATGTATGACTGAGAGGGGAGAGTTACAATGTCAGATATGTGGTCGTCAAATACACGTATAAAGCCGTACATACAAGAACCAGTATTTAACAAAGAGGGAAATGTAAATTTAGGATTTTATTCTATGGAACGCAATAGACGAGAACCGTCTTGGTATCATTGAATAGTATTCCACCGGGAAACTAAATTAGAGGAAGAAAAGTAACGCTCCCACTCGGAGAGCTCAAAGGAGGAAAGTCAGGGGTATCTATCACACAGGCGGACAAGGCGCTGTAATTAGGTAGACATATCCAACATGTCACGCAATCAACCGTCCCCTTGGCATCACATGGAAAAGCTTCATTTCTTCACAGGGATGTAAGCCTTGTTGCCCATGGCCTTGTCCCACATTGTTTCGAGGATGCCGCGCACAGGCCTTCGCTTGCCTGCACCGGTCTCCATGTCCGCCCTGAGCTTGTCGTAGACAGAAGGCAGCGTCTCGGCCTTGTACTTCTTGCGCATCTCGTCGTAGACGTCCTTGCGGTAGATGAGCCAGAACTCGTCCTCGGTGTAGTACGTTCGGGCGTACAGGAGCTTGGCACCCATGAGCTCGGCGCTTCGCAGCTCGAGCTTGCGGTTGAGTTCGTAAAACTCCCTCGGGTCACGAGGTCCACGGCCGTAGACGCCCACGGCAAAGATGCGTTGGTCCGAAACTTCGTCGACGCGGGCGTTGAAACGAGAGGTCAGGCCAATCTCCTTGGGGGCCTTGCACGGAGCCAAGAAGATCATCAGCTCTGGTAGGGTGTCGTTGACGAAGGTAATGAATTCCTTGACCGTGCTCGCTGGAATGCCAAAGTCTTGCACAACGTACTCGTTGGCAAGGCCGGACTTGTGCAGCGCATGGTAGCAGGTGCGGCTGTCGAGGAAGGGGTCGGCCAGGCGCTTGGTGAGGGCATTCTCGGGCACGTGAAAGTGCTTAAAGGCAAGCTTGCCACCCCAGAAAGCGCCATGGTCATAGCGGAAGAGATAGTCGGGCGTGAACATGTAGATGTCTATGGGTTTCTCGGCCGTGGGCTTCTTCTTGAGAGCGTCCTCAATGGTGTCGGCAAACCAGTGAACCTCCATCTTCTTGAGAGCAGACCTGCCCTGGGGCAGGACGTTGACAAACCGGCCAAACATGACGGCAATTGTGCCCTTGCGGAAGTAGACCCCATCAATGAAGTGGATCGACTCGTCCTTGGTGGCCGCCTCAAACAAGTCGTGGGCCGTGGCAACGTCGTCGACCAGCTGGACGTCCAGTTTGACGTATGTAGTGGCCGGGATCAACTCAATGGTGAGCAAGGTGACAATGCCAAACGTGCCCAAGCTGCCGGCAGCGTGCTCCAGCAGATCTGCATTGTGCTCGCGGTTGGCCTTTTCCAGCGTGCCGTCGCCGAGCACAATCTCGATCTCGGAGATGGTATTGTTGAAGAGGCCATAGCGGTACATGCTGCTCTCGCCGGAAAAGCCAGAGTAGCCACCGCCAACAGTGATGCCCTTGAATTCCATGACAATCTTTGGAATGACACCGTGCTTGAGGGTGTGGGCAGCCAGGGCGTCCATGGGCACCTTGGGCTCGGCTTGCACGGTCATGGTCTCCAGATTGACAGGGAAGATGCGGTCCATGCTGCTGGTGTCGACAATGGCATCTGCCTTGAAGGACAGCGGACGCGTGGAGCTTGTCGAGCCATGGTAGACACGGAACGGCTTCTTGTTGTCGTAGAAGTGCTTGACCTGCTTCTGGATCTCGGCGACAGCGGCCTGGTGCTCCTCGAGAAGCTTATTGGGATTCATCTTGTCCAGCGGTTGGGGGTATCAGTCTATGAACGAGAAAGAAGAGGGTATTAATTTGATAAAGTAAAGAATCACGAATGTCAGGACGCCGAAACCACACAATTGACAGCAGCAAGAGATGCAATGCCCACGCAACGTCCTCTCCGCCCAAGATTCTGGTGGTGTCAGGAGGAGGGAAAAAAACAGGAAATGTACCACGATGGCCGGAGCTGACCAGTGACGACGTGCTGTGACGTGACGCACCAGCTGCTGCATCGGCACCGGCACCTGGGATTAGCGCTGTAGCTGTAGCTGCTGGTGACAAATTGGGGGGGCTGGGGCTGCTGACGTGCCTTGCTAAGCCCCCCCAAGCTGCCGCTGTAGCCTTGGCTGGAGCATTAGCTGGAGCTTTGGCTGGAGCCGTTTTAGCTCGATGAGCTCGAATCATGCGTTCCTCCACTTGGGCTCAGATATCACTTCCAATTGTAACATGGCATGTATCAAGACGCAATATCGAAGCTGGTGTTGAGTTGGTCAAGCCATATGCACTCTAGGCATTGCGTGTGCAGATGTTTCATATCCATTTTATTCTCCATCGGGCTAATAATATCCGGCGCTGCAATCAAGTCTATGTCCGGGCATTTGTTGCTCACAACAGCATGAACATCTGCTGCATGTACCGCACGAGCTGGTTAGAGCTCCCACCAATCGGCTCCATTACCATGTCCGACTCCCCGTGCACGGCCTTGGGCTCACGGCTAGCTCACGCCTGGAGTGGAAGCTCTCTACCTTGAGCGTACAAGTTTCAATGGCACTGGAATGCAATCTTTCTTGTTGGATGATGCAAAAAGATGCAGGTTTCTCAGATCGGGCATCAATTCTTTACCCAAAAGGACCCGCCATATGGAAGGGCGTCAGTCATGCATCCAATCTATTACCAGTTACATGTAGCCATGTTAGAGCCTTACCCGGCGTACCTAGCCGTGACAGCAGCCTCTAAGTGGGCAGTTGTAATTTGCTATTGATGCTTCTTGCTGCTTGCCATGTTCCGCTTTCTATGGTCAGATTCACACAAACAGTGATTCCATATTCCATATCGAGAAGATTTACGAAACAGGATGCAATTTGATATAGAACATACACCTGTTAATTAACACCGCATGGCTTCCTCGAAGTGGCAAAAGCTCGTGGCAACTGGCAAACCGCATACAGGTTGACTGCAACACCACTAGATCTTGGGTGGAGAGAGTCGCCGTTTAAGAAACCCAACAACATGTCAACCTATGAGATACAGTAGTTGCTACTGAAAAATTCTTTTTTTTTCTCACATTGCATTCTTTGCAATTACCTTGATGGCCTACCAGTCGTCATGTGTTGTAACAATCCCACGAGTCTCTTGCCCCCGGTTGCCCATAGCTACCTGTGCATATATAAGGTCCATTCAGTACCGGTTTACTTTATAGAATCATCATCAACTTTCAGTTAACTTTGCCTACTCTACTCCGTTATTCTTCTTTGCAACGCAAATACACTCAAAGTCTCCAAGATGCCGGAATCGAGCAGAGAATCTTCTTCTAGCCAGGGCTCACAGGTATGATTCAGGCTACGCTTCATATTGACTTTCATCTTAATGACGATGCGTGAATTCGGAATATTAGGCCAGGTCAAGCAGAACCACGTCGTACAGTGGACATAGCTCGCATTCGCATACTCACTCATCTGGAGACCGTTCGCAGGGCAGCACTCCCTGCTCCGGTGGCTGCCATTGCTCTCACGGATCTGGATCTGGATCGACTTCTTCTCGAAGGTCGAAATAGAATGCTTCAATATGGTGCGAAGTGACAGTACGACATTGAACGAAGGAGGATTGGGCGCTTATCTTCCCGGGGACTTGTTCTGTACTTTGCCTTGCAAAATCCTCAAGTACAATAGCAGTGATCTCAATATACATTGTTTGCTTGGTTTCATAAAATATGTAGATTCTTCCCAAGCTCGTCTTCGTATTTAGTGATGCTCTTCTCAAAGCATGACCGCGGCAGTATTTGCCCCCACTCAATATTTAAATAGTGTTTTCGTATTGAGGTATATGGACCGTATATCTATAAGTAGCAGCATAATCAGAAGAGGTAAGACCCTTTTGACCTGAGAACCCCCTGCACCCACGACCATCGAGATCTTGAAGCCATCCAATTCTTTTTAGGGTACCTAGCTTGTGGCCGGACACTCGGTGTAAGCTAACACCTAGAGATATGACAAGAATCTGTAAAGTGGCGGCCGATAATATCGTAATGAAAATTGATTTTTTCTTTAAGCAGTCGATGGAAATCTACACTTTGTCCTCTTTGCGATATTTTGATTCTGGCAAAGTATGCGCTTGTAATCCCTGATCCAGTACTTCATAACTACAAGCTGCAGGATGGATGTCGAAGCTATCGATAACGGTGGGTCCGGCGCGATGCCTCAAAAGCTCAGCTCGCGTGGTTCAACCATCAGCTTTGCGACTCACTGCAGCTCAATTCTAAGACGCACAGCCAGCCATGTCGGCGATTTACAACCTCGAGCCACAGCCGACAGGCTCGGCGATCCTGCACACGACGCTGGGAGAGATCCACGTCGAGCTCTTTGCGAAGCAGACGCCGCTAACGTGCCGCAACTTTCTGCAGCACTGCCTTGATGGCTACTACGACGGCACCATCTTCCACCGGCTTGTCCCCAACTTTATCGTGCAGGGCGGTGATCCCACAGGAACCGGAAACGGTGGCGAGTCAATCTACGATGGAGGCGCCTTTGGCGGCGAGCTGGACCCCTGGCCCATGGACCAGAGACAAGGACAGAACGCAGGGCCCAATGGCATCAACTTCAAGGACGAATTCCATTCCCGGCTCAAGATCAATCGACGCGGCATCCTGGCAATGGCCAACGAGGGGAAGCCCGACACAAACGGCAGCCAATTCTTCTTTACGCTGGACAAGGCAGAGGAGCTCAATGGCCGGAATACAATGTTTGGTCGGGTCGCCGGAGACACAATCTACAATCTGGCAAAGATTGGCGAATCCGAAATCGACGAGGCGACCGAACGACCGTTGTACCCAGTCAAAATTACAAGCGTAGAGATCTTGGTTAACCCGTTCGATGACATGACGAAGCGATCGAGAGTGGCACAAACACAAGTAAAGCCAAAGGTGGACAAGGAGAAGAAGAAGAAAAGGAAGGGTGGAAAGCAGCTGCTGAGCTTTGGAGATGAAGAGGGCGACGAAGAAGTGCCCGTGTTCAAGAAACCCAAATTCGACACGAGGCTCATCATGGAAGAGGAAAAGGGGGCCTCGACATCTCAGGACAAGAGCTCAAAGTCAAAGCCCTCCAAGCCTAAAGCCTCAGATGAGCAAGCGAGTGAGACCCGAACGACTCATGATAAAGGAAAGGAGCCAGCTGTAGATATCATGGATAATGACGAAGAGGAGGAGGAGAGACAACGAGTTATACCCACACCCAAGAAGCGCAAAGAGCCGTCCCCCGAGCCATCACCCGAGCCGGAACCAGTCCAGGAAAAGAGTGCTCTAGAAAAAGCTAATGAAGAATTGGCCGCTCTCAAGGCTTCCATGAGGAGGACAATTCATTCTGGGGAACCTGTCCAGGAGAAGAAAAAGACGGCACTAGAGTCAATGATACCTGAGACGTCTATACGGGGAAGGAAACGACGGCCTGGAGGCAACAGCACTGCGACAAATGAAGATCAGGCATCTCTTCGCATATTAAAAGCGTTCCAAGCGAAGCTCGACAAGGCTCCGCCATCCAAGGAGGTGGCCACCGAGACCCCCGTTGACAATGAGCAAGGCGAGGCAGAGAAGCCCTCGCAAGATGACGAAGCAGAGCTGTGCGATTTGCATTTTATTGCAAACTGCCAAAGCTGCACGTCTTGGGATAAACAGGAAAACGACGACAGCGACGACGAAGGCTGGATGTCTCACGCGCTTTCATTTGCGGCTGACAAGCTGGGTAAGGACCTAAGCAACCGAAGGAAAGCTGAAGAGGAGTTGGTCGTCATAGATCCGCGGGAGAAGTCACGGACACTGAAGGAGGAGAAACGGGCTGAGCGAGAGGCTCGGGCTGGCGGGTCTGGAAGGGCATGGGATCAGGCACGAAACGCCCAAATGGCTAAAGCTGCTTCTTTGGCCGGTAGAGGAGCAAAATGAAATGGCGACACATGTTATGCCTCTGTTTATCGATGTTTATTGGCATTATGGCGTAGCGTATGGAGTACTGCGAGATGGGCGGTAGCCAGTCTATATTTTATATAATTTGGGCATTATTTGATATCATGAAATTAGGGTGGAATATACTAAAGCAATCTTTTGAGGGTGTCCAAATTGGATGATTCCCAGCTATTTTCTAGTATTCTCGTCAACTCTAGTCCAACAATCGTTTAGTCTCGGATATGACGCTAGACAGAGACTACTGCAACAAGCTGACTTTCCTTTGTTCCACCCGTTACTACAAAGATCATTCACGATTGATTCAATTCCAGTTGCGAGTTGTTGTCACATTTGCCAAATTGTCTTTGTAGTCTGTGTTATCGACGCCATGGCTCTCAACAACCAAGTCTTCGTGGCGCAGTTGGCTAGCGCGTCAGTCTCATATTATACGATATGATCCAAACATCAGTTTGGGCCATCTGAAGGTCGTGAGTTCGAGCCTCACCGAGGACAATGCTTTTTGCCCTCCACTCACAAGGTGGAGAGCTTTGCTTTGTTTTTTTTTGTACTTTGTCGTTAGTAGTTGGATAGGACAAAGAGCAAATGTCTCGCAGGTTTAGCGGAGATGCAAGGGACGGATGCGTTGTTTGCAATATCTAAATTTAGAAACACCGTTTTGAGTATTTCCATTTGGAAGAAAACGTTGAATTCTTTCAGTGTAACATGTAAGAGGCTATTGTGACTCCTCATTTGGGCAAGGATCTCCGATTCTTATGTGGACTCTGATGCATGCATCATGTAAGTCTGCCTTTTTGACTAAGACCCTCTTGCTGTGAGTGTCAGCCTCTGTGTTTAAGCGAGTCAGTGATCCCAAGTAAAGCATCATCTATGCATGATGTTCAATTCATTATATAGCTGTATTGTATATTGCTTTTCACGATATTCACTTGATGTCCCGAGTACTCATTGTTAAACCAAGGCTCAATAGAAGCAAGACCTAAGATTGGTAGAAGAAGCAACAAAACAGCATTGTTTCAGCGGCGACTTTTTTTCTTTGTACGTCTTATCATCACGTGCGGACTAGCCTTGCCAAGTGGGGAGCAGAAAAAGCGAAACACCAAGCTGAATAAGCACGTGCAACATCTAAACAAGGGCACTTACCACACCAAACAAGGCTAACTCTTGTATGCGCATACTTGTAGCTTGTGAGCTTCGAATCTCATCATCTCCCATTTTTCTGTCCATCGCTCATCTGCTCAAGTAACGCCATCTAGATCCGTGCGCTGATTGGCTCGAGACGGATGACCGCATCCCAATAGAGTGCTCTGACCGAAGCCCCGGGCAAAAGTACGATAACATTTTCGCAATCTTCAAACGACAGTCAAGTCAAGCCGGGCTGCAAATCTGGGTCCAGCCCAGCAAACGAGCCTCTCCGCCGTCATTGAGAACGCCAGAGCCCGTCCGTACCGCGACCGGGATGAGCAATCACTCTGGCTGAAGCACACATTCCGCTCCGCTGCCTCAACACAGAGCACGAAATCCGCCCGAAACCCAACAAGTCGCGCCGCATAATCTCCAGAGCTCGGGTTGCCGCCTAGCCCGTAGATCCTGCCAAAGGCACCGCTGCGCTACCGACCGAGTGCTTTTCGCAGCGCGTTGGACGGCTCTTTTTGTTTCTTTGGAATATCTTCTTTTTGCTGCCGGCGAATTAGCTGCAGCTTATCCGGATCGTCGACCTGCCTGTGCCGCCATACCACTGCGAGTCCCAGGCCTTTCAATCCCCATCTCCAAGTCATCTGCCCAAGAGTCGACGTGTTCTTTGGCCGAGACGGAGAGTTGGGCGTCAGCTCACCCGTGCCCCCGTTTGCTACTTGCTGCCCGTCTGCTGTCGCCGAATCCAGGATATCAGCCTGTATCTCGAGACGCCTATTGCTGCTATTGCCTTGGGCCGCGGCACTGCGCTAAGGCATCATACATCGCGACCGGAGCGTCATCCAGTCCTTGACCGGGCCTCGGTGCCTGCCGCACGACTCCTTGCCCTACACCCCTCGGCGACCGGCCAGCACGCGGCCGCATACTCTTCACCATGTCTGCACCAAACTCCCGGAAGCGAGCCGCCCCCGGTGCGTCGCCAATCGTACCGATCCAGCGGAATATGCAACAGCCATATGCCACCGATAGTATCGCCGGAGCAAACCCTGTGATGCAGTGGAACGGCACTGACGGCGCAGCCGATGCCACCGACTACTTCAGTGCTGCCGCTGCGCACAGTGAGAATCCCTACGGACTTGCGCAAACACAGCCGACGTACCCCCAGGCCGTTGGCGCGCCGTCAAATTCGCTCGCACGCCGACAAATGAATCGCGCCCTGGTTCCCACCAATCTTCGAGCAACTTATGAGCCTTCTTCGGACCGGTGGTCTGGCTTTGGGGAGGACAACCTTCTCGTCCCGCAAAACGCCACGGAAGGCGGGGTTGGGCAGGACAACGTAGAAGTCTTGGAAGAAATGGCCCAAAAGGCGAAGAGAGAGGCCCAGGCCAAAAGAAAGCAGATTCCGCCGTTTGTGCAGAAGCTGAGCAGGTGAGCATCTTTCCCAAACTCCACATCCAGGGATCACGAACCTAACCGTTACACCAGCTTCCTCGAAGAACGAAAGAATGAGGACTTGATTCGGTGGTCTGAAAAGGGCGATTCTTTCATCGTGCTCGATGAGGATGAGTTTGCAAAGACGTTGATTCCCGAGCTGTTTAAACACAACAACTACGCGTCCTTTGTCCGGCAGCTGAACATGTACGGATTCCACAAGTGCGTGGGACTCTCTGACAACTCGATGCGTGCTAGTGAGCGCAAAAATAAGAGTCCAAGCGAGTACTCCAACCCATACTTTCGGCGAGGGCACCCGAATCTTCTATGGCTGATTAATAAGCCCAAGAGCGGTGGCAAGTCTAAAAAGGGGAACAAGGGCCAGGATGGCGATGGCGATAGCGAAGACGACGCTGGCCATGAAGAGACACCAAGCCACCAGGGCGTTCCGGTCCCCAACACCGCGGGCCGCTCCCTGCCCGCTGCCCCCGGAGCGGAATCACAGCCTCTTCCCAAAAAGGAGATGGCACTGATCAAGGAAGAGCTGCAGAAAGTGAGAGAGCAGCAGAAGCTGATTCTCACCGCCATCAACCGTTTGCAGCGAAATAACAATGACCTGTATAACCAGGCAATCATGTTCCAGACCCAGCACGACCGGCACCAAAACTCAATCAACGCGATTCTCAATTTCCTGGCCAACGTCTTCAGAAAAACGTTGGAGGATCAAGGAACTTCGCAGAACGTCGGCGACATCATCTCAAGCCTGATGGCGAACCAGGCCCAGCAACCGTCCCACCAAGGCAGCGTTGTGGACCTGGGCGACTACTTTCAAGCTCAAGCAAACGCAGCCAACTCACTTGGCGTTCCCACTCCTAGGAAGTCGCAAAAGCTACTTCCACCGATCCCGCAAGCCGCCCAGGCCAGTCGGCCGTCATCGACGAGCAGCACGCCGTATCATCCCCTCGGTGTTCACCCGGAGATGGGCCACGTTACGGAGCTTCTCGATACATCACCGTCAGATTCGACGCCTAGCTTGAGGCAGGAACTCGAGGCAAACCCGCACGAACGGATGATGAAGATTATAAACGACCACAATGCAAGCAATTCGGCCGGCCTTGATTTGCCGGAAGCAACCGAGCTTGTCAACAACACCCCGAATACCCTGAGCAGCGAACAAAGAAGCAAGCTAGTCAACCTCATGGTAGCGCAGTCATCGGCGTCCGCGATGCCAAACATACCTGCCGTGTCTGATCCTCTAGGGAGAATGTCTTCCCCAGCCGTCACATCAGCCGTTCCATCTCCCGCACAAGAAAGCACTACTGCAGCACCCTCACTTTCACCCATCCTGCGGTCACCAACTATGCCTGCTCCCTCTCTGCAGCACATTAGCACGAACCAAAACGACCTCGAGCAGCTCAAGCGCCTACAGAGCGAACAAGACGTAAAAATTCACGAACTGAGCGATATCCTGGGGCCGTTGAGCCCGAACGGGCACATTCCCGGCCTGGAAGATGGAGCCGAAGCTTACTTTGATCCTCCCAATGTTGACCTGGACCAGTTCTTTGACAGCAACGCTTTTCTGAATGACGCTACCCACTACGGAGACGGGTCAGACTTTAACTTTAATCTGGATGCAGACGGGCTCGGCCAAGGGCTCAACCCAGGGCTCAATCACAAATTCGACACCCCGAGTCCTACGGGGACTGAGGAGATCCAACGAGATGACTTGGGGATTAAGGAAAGCCCCGGTCACGAGAATAAGAGACGGCGTGTGGGCTGATGCTCCAAACTCTTGCGAGCGTTAAGACGTGGAAAAGAAGACCGACCATCTTAGACTCTAATATCTTGCTTTTACAAGCGACATAATCTGCCCTATGAATATCCAACCGCATGTTTTGGCTTATTTTCCATCTTTGGTACATCATCTACAAAAGAGGCTATTTCAATATTTCTTTCAGATCGAGTCGCTCGAATTCCCACACAAGAACAGAAGAGTGACGGGGCCTGTGTTGCGGGAACATAGGTGTGTTGAATGAACACCGTCATGAAACGGCAAGGGCGACTACATAACGCCGAGGTCGAAGCGATTAAACAATATCTCATCTATGGACAAGGTCTGGCAATACAGCAGCCATGTCTGCGCACAAAATATATAATCAAACTACGTTTACGCTTCACATTGCTCAAACAGAGAAGGGTCTCAATGGATCTCCCATTAGGAGATGAATCGGAGAAGGCGGCAAATTGGTACAAAGGAGTTTCTATTGTGGACTTTGGCTTGGGGATTCATACGGCTGGTATTTGTGATGACAACTTGGTACATAGCGTACACTTTTTTTTTTTGTATTACACAGACATTCTACGGAGTTGGAAGTATAGCTCGGAGGAAAGCTGCAGGGGGATCCCTCTTTTTTTCCCCTCATCTCTAAAGCGGTAGCCATAGTTGAAATGGTATTGCGCTGTTGAATGAAGGGCTTTGAATGCATAAGTACGTGAATGGGTGAATGAATGAATGGATGCCTACGTGGGTGAATGAATGAATAAAGGCGTAGCCATTCATAAATGACTCCGAGGTTAACGCAGTTGTTCACAGCAACAGCCATACAATATAAAGAGTCTTTTTGAACACATTCAACAAGAGAGTTGCTGGTTATTCTGTTCTTGTATTGTGCACCGGTTCTTTCACAAACATCTTCATAAAATGCCACCCTTGAGAAGCTCATCATGGCGACAGTCCTCACCCCATTTACCACCCAAGACATTCAAAACATTGCCGCAATTCTCAAAATGCCCCTACCAAGCCTTTCAAAAATGTTCGCCTTCTCGGCGACCTCTTCTTCGGCTGCCCCAGAGAGAGTGCCTGTTGCACCCAAGGAACGACCAACCCTTAGAATATGCTTCCCGCTTAAAATCTCAAGAGGAGGGAATTCCTGTTGGGAATACGAAGAGTTTCAGGTTCAGTTCCAGGATAGAATGATGTGGCGACAGGCGTTTGGTCTTGATATGCAATATCATGACAAGAGATTTCTTCACAAGGCTTTTGGTCGTCGAGCTGCATCAAATCGAGGCGAACCATCCAATGCCGTTGACAACGACTATGGCGCTGCTTCCAATAGTCGTTGGTCTTCTTCAACATCAGAAACGTCATCCTGTACAGACAAATATCTTTCCGGCGAGAGTACTTGCTCTAAAACATCTCAGCGACTGAAGCAGCTCATGACCCGTATGCTATCAGCGACTTCTTCTCGGTCGGGCAAAAGCGGCACATGCACCAGAGAAGAATCACAGTCTTTTACATCTTCTTCCCCATCATCGAACCGCTGTACCGATCAGCATGAGGCACTTCGACCTGAACCCCTCAACTTACCGTTGAGACAAAAGCAGCCTCTTGATAGTGAAGCGACTGGGGACGAGACACAGCGACACCGTGACGATGCGCTTCGCTCGCTTGAAGGGAAATCTCAAGCCCGAAATAACATGTCGTTTTCGACATTTCGGAGCATGTTCCATGCGCGAAAACTGCAGGATGAAGACGGACTATCGCCGGTTTCACGTACTGTGCCTTCCATTCAACCGAAGACTACGCCACAAGACCAGAGAGTCATCGGCCTCTCGTCCGATGAATGGGACAGTATCAAACACGACATTGGCCAAGGTATAGAGGGTGGTATAACTGGGATATTCCCCCCTTACACAAAGGGCCAAAGGGCCATGGCCATGCCCGTGCAACGAGTCGAAGAGAGCAAGTTGTTCAGAGTGCAGACACCTCCACCTGGAGAGGACATGCAAAGGGATGGTCGGAAAGCAGCTTTGGAGAGTATCGAAGCGAGTGGTTGGAAAGATATTATTTTCGTGTCGTACAAGGATACGCCGGAGGTGATGAGGTGGTGGAATACGACACAGAAGCCGCGAGTGCTTCAATGGGGAGGAGGTATGGTTTGACGAAGGGGGTTGTTTGTGAGAGATGGGATTTCAGGGAAGGGTAATGGTTTGTTTAGTTTGGAGTTGAGTTGTTTATGGAGTTTGGTATTGTTTGTTTGTTTGTTTGTTTGTTTTTTGTATGAGATGTACGGCTATCAGGGGAGTTTGTCAATCGATTTTATTAGTTCTTTATTGTGTAGCTATCCAGCCACCCAGCGACTGTGAGAAGTTTAAATATTGTAACCGGAAAGCCGTTTGATTAGTATCAATCAAGACATTCACCTAAATATCCAGTTGAGCTCTTCAACTATCTGCTACTCTAGCTATGTTCCTCTACTATATGCTACTATAACTATATCTATCTAGTACTTACTACTATATCTACATCCGTCTAGTGTTTGCTACTATAGTTATACCTATCTACTGTCTGTTATAATGGCTGATCTTTTTTCTTTACAAGTATAAAGAAAATACTCAAAGAGGATAGAATATAGATAATGGCCGCATCAACTACTTCGGTCTTGACGTTGGTTGCCTTGGTTGCCGAACTCTCCTTAGCTACACCACTTTCAACTTTGACAGCCTTATCCATCGTTGACTCGGACATCTTGATGATGCACTTGCGAGTGATGGTGGAGAAAGTGCGCTGTAGAAGAGTTAGTTTACTCTTTAGGATTAACAGTTTTACTTAAGAATAGTACTAGCCTTTAAAAAGGATAAGTATAAGAAGAGATTACTTCTTTTACTATAGATTACTAACTCTTTTTATACCTGCTTAACTAGGAAAATAAAAAGCCTACTAGATAAATAAAATAAGCTCCCTAAAAGAGGAACTTATAAATTATTAAATAACGGGAAACACTAGTCTCTTACGAAGACAGCAGAGTAATATAACGTAGGAAAATAATAATAAGAACTGCGCGTGGGAACAGGACAGACTTTTAAATCTATCTAAAAAAAAAAAAAAAAAGCAGTAAAAACAGGCAGGATTGTAAAAAAACGAGGCAGAGAACGAGGCAGAGAACTACCGCGGGCATATGGAGAGTCCTTGAAGAAGAAGAGATCAAAGCTCGAAGGGACCAGCTTGGGGGAACGATATACTACCTCCAACGTCATTTGTAGAGACGGGATATTGAAGAGAATCCTCTGGGGAGCATGTCCATGGCGATTCTGCCGACCTCAACCTCTCCCAACTTTCAGTTGGTAGGGCACTGATGGATTCCGCAATCAGTGAAATAACTACGTAATCTCGTCCCGTTAATTCTTTGACGTACTGATGCTGGGATTCTGCGAATAAGGCTATTTGTTTTGTTATTCGTTGAAGCTGCTCGGACAGCATGCATCCGTCAATTCGTAACAAAAACAGAGGATAATAGAGAGGATGAACAACTAAAGGAAAAGACAAACGAATGGATCTCTGACGTTACTCAACAAACAAATAAACTGTCTGGCAGTGCAGTATAGAGAAAGGGAAATGGCAATGGTCGCAGATCGTGATCTGTAATTGCTACCAGTTGGTAGGGCACTGATGGTGTAACAAGCTTAATTCTTCTACTAACTAACTGACTCAGCGGAGGACTAAAGGGATGACAGTGCGGTATACCGTGTCGCACGGGTTCACGCACAGTGCATGATCCATCTATCTATCTGTCTATCCTTATAGCCCCAACACTCTCCCAACTTTTTACAATACTTTGTAAGATTTCGTGTCATAAGCCGCTCAAAGCCGTGACTTTATTCCAGTCCCATCTATTTTGCCGAGTTTAATGCCGAGATAGAACGTGGAAAGGGTAAAAGACTTTATCTAGGGGGCGGGGATGGGATTGTTAGGTAGTATTCGAACTCGTACTGTGTGAGGCCACGCTTTAATCTACTCTGGATAAGAGTGCGGCATATAGCCCTACTAGCCTTAGTTATAGAAGGCCAAGTGTTACTGGATTTGTCTTTGCTTATATGAAAAATGTTTTGCGAACTGAATAGGTAGCCTGGCCCCTGTTCTGAGTATCTCTAACGTATTTCTATGGTCTTCTGGAGTTTACTACTGCTATACCTTAATTTAGTCTGCATGTGGAATCTCTAAATGGAAAATGTGAGATATAGTGGCGATATTTGACAGCGCCTTTTATATCCATATCCATTGATGTTGCGCTTGGTGAAACTCATCTTCTCATCGTGTCAATTAAGCCATACGGCAACCAGTAGCTAATAGAGGTGCGTGCCTTTTCTTAGAGAAGTTAACAGCTGTCGCAATAAAGCATACATTGGGATTGGCGTGTTATGCAATGCCGTCGTCCTTGATGGCGAATGGGTATATGGCCTCCAAAGACATGGCGCGGGGACCTGGTGTCCATGACAAGGTAGTTTCAGTATAACCGCAGACTTATGTTACTGTGTCGTCATTACGAGGCTGTAGAGAGTCGTCCAAGCCTGTGAACATTGGTCTAAAGTCCGTATCCAATGTTTCCGGAGTTGCAAGGGGTGATTTCTGTTATAGGAGTGTCAATGATCATATTCAGCCTCCCAAGTTGGCTATTCAACTATTGTTACTTTTATCTACTATCTGCTAACTTCTTCCAGCATTTTTTACCTTTTTCTATCATCCAGTAGTTTCTTCTAGTATAATACAATCCCTTCTAGTATCTTGTAGTTTCTTCCAGTATCTACTACTGTCTTCTAGTATCTACTACTTTTTTCTAATATCCTCTGCTTTCTTCGAGTACCTATTCGAGGTATAACAGGGCACATGCGACAAACAAAAAGGCCATATAGTAGATATTGTTGTAATAGACGATGAAGTAATTGTTGATGGAACTGTTGAATTGTTGAATGGGCTGTGTCTCTGTCAAAGCGGACTTGTAGGGTTGTCTACGCTTGACGTGCTGGCGACGCCGTCGTGACCAACATCACAATGTCCGTGTGTACGGCTGACATGATCATGGCCATGACTTAATTGTCATCTCTCTTCCATTGTGCCAGGTTGGCAGTCTCTTCAGCCGTTGGCAGGGTGGATAGGGTTGGTGTTTTGCCATCAAAGATGATGTCCCCTAACTTCGCGTGCCGGAAAGCGATTGTCCACGCCGCACGCTATTTGGCGTGGCTCATCTCACCGTCTAGTAAGATGGGAGAGGCTCGAGGAATCGGACTTGAACGCGAAGCTGTTCGATATCTCGATGTTGTTTGACATGGTGTTGTCGACGATTTCGTGGGTGGTTATATTGCCTCTCGAGGGACCGGTGGGTTTTATCATATACTTCTGCATCTGTATCGCGATCTAATAAGCCTTAATTAGGTATCATAGAATGGGATGCCGACACCTACGAGGAAGTCGAGCGCGATGGACCAAACTTGGTTCACACTGTCCCGAACACGCCAGAGCCAACTAAATACATGATGATATACGTAACATTAACGTAGCAACGACGGCGCTGCCAATTTCCCACAACATATATGTCTGACGTTTGTAGGGGTAGGTTGGGGAGTCTGACAAACGGCGATACCACTGGGCCGTGAGAAGATCCAGACGAGAGAATGTCTGGCTGCTGCTGGAATCGGGCCGAGTCGACGTGAACCAGGACAGCGGCCCTGGGCGTCAGACGATAATGGAAGGCTATTCTGCTTGACTCGGGTGGAAAGTAAGGCATCTTGTGCTTTCTTATACTCTCTTCTGCTTTCTTTAGCTATACTCTCCTCTGAATCGATACTCTCTTTTACTATCGACACTCTCTTCTACTATTAGCTACCTTCTTCTACTATCAATACTGCCTTCTACTATCAATACTGCCTTCTACTATCAATACTTCCTTCTACTATTAATACTGCCTTCTACTATCAATACTGTCTTCTACTGCTTATTAACAATAGAACTATTGTTAAAATAAGTTCATACTTTAAAAAAAAGGACCTGTTCCTCATTCTCCCTCAGCGAGAGTACAGCGTTATCCAGGGCATTTTCTCCTCCTTCTTCGTTACCTAATACCTCATATGCTGCGTAGTATAAACTAATCCTCCCAATGTCTTTATACCCTTGCCTCTCCCAAGGGTGCGCCGTTAACCTGGGGGCATGTCCAGTGAACATTAATTTAGGCTCCGTCTAAAGATACATAAAGGGCACTTCCAACATCTTTCCCAGGGTCTCGTCAGAGCTAACTTCGAGGACCCCTGTTTGCAGTTTTCCGACATACTTAGGTCTATGAGGGAAGTCTAGTTTGACGATATGTCTTCCACCTCGTCATCGGCATCATCATCTTCTCCCGCATCCGAGTTACTGCTTTCTCCATCTGTGGACTCCTATCCCACGTACTGCTTCAATATCTCTGGGGAGTCTGGTGCCAACATGATCTTTTGGCGCCTCATGGATGCCATGACAGGCCCTTGCACAACTCGGCGTGCCTCGCCTTCTGACACCAGTCCCAACTCCAATGTCCCGTTGCGGATATATACCCCCCTTCACACTTGTCTTTGATCTCCTTTCTTCCCTTATCCGCTCTGTCTGTCTGCCTGCCTGCCCGTGTTTACGCTGCGACTTTTGCCGTTGTTTTATCTACTGTCTAGATCCGTCCCTCCATCGTCTTCCCGTCGGGCATTCCGTGGACGGAACATTGTACAAGATGTCGACGACGAGGATGACGTCCCAGTGATCTACCCAGCCTATATCGCCTCACAACTCAGTTACACATCGACAGTAGTCTTTGCAGTGAATGAAGCGGCCAATATGAACAGAGCCGATCTCTATTGCGTCTGGGACAACACTCTCTCTCTTTGCTTCCCTTTTAGCGACCCTAAGCAGCTGCCTCCGACTGTTATGACGCCCAACGACAAAGATGCCGATGACAATTATCTCAACCGCTTTGCAAAGAGCGGCGAGCTGTCGGCCCTCCTCTTTTTGCAGGCCAGTGGCATCCCGACATACCGCCTGACAACCCAGCTGCGAATGGGTGATGGACTATTCGATATGGTGTCTGGCATTATATACAAAGGGGTGCCTTATATGTACGCCTCCAGCTTTCCTAGATAAAGCAACG